CAGCGGCCGCCCCCCCGCCCCGCCCCTGCCCGGGGCTCGGTCAAGGGAAAGCATGCTGCCAAGATGGCTGCCAGGGCAGCGTGTGTTTTTAACCCTTTCTAGCCTCACGGGCTTTTCAAAGCTTCGAAGAGAATCTCCTGCTGGTGGGTCTCTGGCCTGAAGAAGGTGCTGGCCATCACTGCGCTGCAGTACTGTCCGTGTCCACCAGGGGGCAGACGGAGCCGGGGACAGGTGTGGCCTCACGCGTTAAGTCGGGCGACAGAGACCAGCCCGGGTGAGCCAGGCACGGAATCCGGACAGAACGAGTCCACAGACCAGCACACCCCGCCTGGGACTCACTAAAGTGAAGGGAGGCCCCGTACTCCTTCAGCGAAGACCAGAGGTCCAGACTCTGGGAGTCACCCGCCTCCCGGCCCTCACGACGGCACTGGAAGGAGAAAGGCCAGGGGCTCCCACAGCTTCCTGACTCCCGGAAGCTGAATTCACCTGCGGGGAGCACGGCAGGGCTCGTGGGCACCCCCGAACCTGCATGCACTGAGGACGGAGGGTTGGCGGGCCCGACCCCGTCCCTGTTAGAAAAGCTGCCGGTTTCAGTGCAGCGGGAGGCGAGGGGACAGCCTGAGAGGTGGGCACACTGGCCAAGCCAGGGCCTGCCGCCCAGCCCCACCGAGGGCTGGAGAAACCGCAGCAGGACGGGGCCCAGGAGCTCCGTGGCCTCCTACTCACACAGGCCCAGAGGTCGCAGGAAGACTTTGCGGCTAAAATGCCAGCCACTGCCAACCCCCATCTGCAAAGACCTTGGCCCTCCCGGGCCCCACAGGCAATTACACCGAGTCCCGGAGAGGAGATTTTTATCTGGGGCCCCAGGAGCCCAGAAACCAGGTCAGGGGGGGGCGTGTGCTCAGAGCGAGCACACAGATGGGACGGGTGCTGGTCGCCAGCTGCACTGGGGCCTGTCCAGGGCCTGGCATCTGGGGCTGGGAAGTGGCCGCCGGGCCTGGGTGTGCCTCTGGCTGCAGGGCTGAGCTGACGTGGAGGCAGGAGGGTCGGGCAGAAGATTCCTGCCGAGCACGGTGCCGGGGCAGCCCGCCGCCCTGGCTGAGGGCTCGGACCCCGCCGCCCGGGGCTGGAGGTGCAGCGCCAGTCTGTGCCCACCCACGTGACCTGGGCAAGGGACCCGCCTCTGGGACTTCTACTCCCGTCTGCAGAATGGGACGCAGCTGCCCCAGGGCTGGTGGAAGGACGGATGGTGGAGAAGGCAGGGCCTACCTCTCGGCGGAAGCTCAATGAACAGCACCCACCCTGGGAACCCCTCTCTTTTCCTTTCAGTAAATAAGAGTGACTGTGACCCTGGGTGCCCGCCCCCCTTCTCTCTCCCACGGCACAGAATCACCGTGTAAAGCGCACCCCCTCCAGGAAGCCTTCCTTGCTGGGCCTCCTCCGGCCCCTCAATCCTAGAGGCAGCCCAGCCTCGCGGGAAAGAGCCAGGGCTCTAAAGCCAGGTTGCCTGGGCTCGGTCCCAGCCCCATCACTACCCGCGGAGTCACCTCAGGCCAGTCCCCTACCCTCTCGGGGCCCAGTTCCCTCCTCTGTGTGATGGGGGTGATGGTATCAGCTACCCCCCTGGAGCTGCTGTTAGTTCAGCCGTTCGACTGGCTCGGCTTCCACACGCCTCCTGCTCTCACGGGCAGTGGCATCGCGGATGCGGACAGCGCTAACAACGCGACCACGGACCGAGCACGCGCCAGCGTGAGCTCTGTGACCACTTCGTACACGTTATCGTGTTTATGGCTCACGACAGCTGCGCGAGGCCGGGGGCACCGTGAGTCCCACTTTATGGACCAGGAACGGAGGCCAAGCCCAGGGCTCACAGCCGGGCCCCGGGC